AATATCGGTGCGGTGGCCAATGTCCGATATTCAGTTTTAAGGCTGATGCAGGCCGATACCGATAGGGGGCCGATTATATCGTGCATCCCTATTTAATAGTTCAGGGATTTGGTTAGAACATATGTGGAGGACCTTTAATAACACAGAGGCCATTGTTCAGGATCAGGGAACATGTCTGACCTCTCCTACCTCTCTTCAGGACATCAAACTGGTAGAGCAGGCTGGAGGAGCGTCGGCTTAAAAAGACTGGTGGGCGACTATTATTCCAGGCTGCTGGGAGGATTCCAGATTGGAAGAGGCCGGACCTTCCAGGCCGGTTCTCCTCTGGGTCCTGCCGTCTGTTGGAGGGGTCTCTGCGTGGGGAAGAAGGTGTTTGATGCGGTGCCTGAGCTGGAGTCTTGGGTTTGGAGTTTGGGTGTCCGTCCAGTTCCTCCTGCTGAGGAGGGGTGATGTGGGTCTGGGTGTCCTGGTTGGTTTTCTGCGCTGTACGGTTGGTGCCAGCGTTGATGGATCCTGTGATCTGGGTCTTGGGGAGGAGACCGGCAGCTTCCCCTCGGTTTTTCTCACTGTTGTGCTCTGTCAAACGATCACTCTTGTGGCCCTTTTTGCTCTTGTTGTTGGGGCCGTGGTGGCGAAGGACAGGGTCCAGGTTGCCGTGCTTGGGCCATGCGGCGGGTGGTAAAGGGTGGAAGTTTAGTTTAGACTCAGTAGTCTGGCTGCTTTTCTCCAGAAGCTCATTGATGGGCAGGGTGGGCTCTTTAACCAGGAGCCTGCTCTGGTTGCTTGGAGCAGCTTCCTTTTCTTTCAAGGTGTAAAGCTCTGAAATCAAAGCAAGCAGGACTTCAGCTACAACATATCATAATTCAAACTGATCATATTCCTGATATCAAGAAGGTAGTTTTCCCTTGCTAAATTGTGATGTTCTCATTCTATTAAACTGGCACATGGATCATCAATTCATCGTTTTTTCAATGCTTTTTGTTTGGCAGGAACAATGCCAAAAAATAGGGTTAGGAAATCTAAATAAGTCATTTTTTCATAAAATAAGTGCATTTTGTCTTGAATTGAGAAGATAAGTGAGGCACTTTCCCAATGGAACAAGACAATTTACATTTAAAATAAGAAAAAGCAACTGCATTGTCTTATTATAAGTGCATATTATCTAATTATCTTATTTTAAGAGTAAAAATACTCATTCCATTGGCAAATCATCCCATTAACCTACTAAATTTAATGGTAAATACACTTGATTTAAGACATATCTTACTTGTTTCTAGATTATTTTTGCAGTGCTGATCTTTCTTTCTTCCTTACTTGAATGTGAAAAATAGGTGTGCATCAAGGCGCTACATTTGGACCGCAGTTTTCTATTTTTTACTTAAACTTGGCATTGCTCCATATAGCTGCTACCTCTTTTAAATGATGCATCCAAGCTTAAATGTTTGAAAAATAGAATATTAACAAAAAAGAACACTAGGATCTTAAAATATCTCTCATCATTCTGGTTTTAGGAAACAGCTATCAAACACTGCTACCACCTATTTTCCATATTATCTTATGGCAGCTTTAAATGTTAACGACAGCTATGGACTTGTGAAAAGTATTTTATGGCAAGAATCATAAGATCTTAAGCCAAAGGCTTACACTGCAAAACATTGAAACGTAAATAATATTTTTTTCTTAAAATAAGTGCATTTGTTCTTCAATTGAGAACTTAGGTAAGACACTTTGCCAATGGAACAAGACCATTTACATTTAAAATAAGAAAAAACATTCTTATTTTAAGTGCATTTTACCTAATTATCTTATTTTAACAGTAAAAAAACGAATTCCGTTAGCAAATAATCTCATTTAACTGCTCAAATTAAAGGTAAATACACTTAATTTAAGACATTTTTACTTATATAATTTACTTATTGTTACTTATTCAAAGATTTTCTACTGACAACCCAAGCGGAACATAATGATATGTCTCCTGTATTGTCAAATTGACTCTATCCAGCACTATGTTTAACCAACTGGTCTTTTTCTGAGCCAAATATCCATAAACATTCCCCTCCAGGCTTTGTATTTGGACTAACACCTATGGAAATTTTTTTATAATGATGTGGGAATGTTAACGCCTTTCTCTATCTATCAATTATTTTGCTGATGACATTGTGTTTTATTCTTAACGCCAACACAGTTTCCTTGGTTTTTGATTATCAGTTGGTTCCATTTGACATATTTCTACCACATTTGTTTTTTTCTCTAGCTGGTAACAAACACTGAAAATATTACACTGTTTGATGGTAAATCTATACTGTTCTGCCAGCTTGTTTTTTTGTCCACACATGGTACTCCATTGTAAGTAAATATCTTAGCATTTTAGCTAATGACATTTTTTTAAAGTCGGATATTCAACTGTTTTAAAGAACTCAAATTAGAACCCAGAAATTATTAAGAATTATTAAGTAAAAGGTAACTTATTGCAGACACCTTCTGGCCTCACATTGACAATTAAGTCTTTATCTACACTGGAACAAATGATCTAGAAATAAGTACAAAAATTTCTTAGATTACATGTATTTTCCCTTAATTTGAGTAATTTGGTAATTGAGACACTTTGCAAATGGGATGAGTATTTTAACTCTTAGAATAAGATAATTACATAATATGCACTTGAAATAAGAGAATACAATTATTTTTCTTATTTTAAATGTAAATTTTCTCGTTCCATTGGCAAAATGTCTCACTTTCCTCCTCAATTCAAGGAAAATATGCACTTATTTTAAGAAAAAATTACTTATGTAGAATAAATTTATTTGCAGTGTAAGTAAACACTCACGGTGAGCAATATAGAGCACTGAGATTTATCACTATGTTACACTTACATTTGTTACACTCAAGGCTAACGGGCCTCATTTTTTAAACATTAAGGTTGTTGCAACAGTATTTTTCATGCACCAATAGAAGCTTGTTTTTCTACCACTGCAAAAAGCTTAATTTCCTCGAATAGAGCTTTTATTGTATTTATTGTTCGGTGATTAGAAAAATGTTGTCCACTAGTTGCCTTTGCAATTAGGACAAACTATAAAGACGTGCAGCTTAATGTTGCTGAATGCCTTTAAAGATATATAAGAAAAAAGAAGAAAGTTTTTTGTTTATATATTGAAAATGCTGTTAATATTTTGTATAAGATCATTATCTGTTAGTTTACTAGAGTCCAACTTTTTTTTCTTATAATTTGTTATTTTTCTTTTTAACAATATATTTATTTTGCATATTTTTAAAACAGGTTTTCTTTTAAAAGTGACAAACTTTGTTCCAATTGAATAACAAAAAGACAGAAATAGTTAATTCAGTTTTATTTGGATGCATTTTAAGAGAAGCTTTCAAGGATATGCTTTTATAATGTTTTACTATAAAATCCTATGAGAAGGAAAACAACTAACTGATTTAGTATTAACAAATAATAATGCAAAAAAACACAAAAAAACAATATACCTGTATTTACTCACCATTTAGGACCTGCTCCTCTGTGTCATAAAGAGGGAAAAGCAGAAACAAAAGAACCAGAGTAATTCCTGTCATCTTGGTGGAATCAGTTTTGGACTCACTGCTCTGTTTGTTCCCAGGTTGGGATTCCTGGGATTATATAGGAACGCTCCGGGAGCGGATGGGATGAGGTGGAATGGGAGGGTGTGGGCTGGACCAAACAGGGACACAGACTCTTTCACAGGACACTCCTTCCATTCGTGCATAATTCAAAATAAACCAACACAGCCCACTGGGTGAAGAAAATAAACATAAAAAAAGGTTTATAAAAAAAGGTTTCCTTTAATATCTTTGGTCAGAATAAACTCTTAATCATTCTGTCCAAACATTTGTTTTAATTAACACTTGTTCCTTAACATTTATACAAACTGCACCATGCAACATAAGAAGAATGAATGTTTTAGTAGGTGTGTGATTTAAACTGAGTAAAAATGGGTATTCACTGCCCCCTGGTGGTCCAGAGAAGAAGAACATCTGCATGATGTTTTTCCAGTGCAGCGGTATTCTACAAAAAACATCAATCTGCATAAGAAATCTAATTTATCATTAAAAACACTTTGAAACATACGCTTTAAGATTAAACAGATTTTAACCTGTGCGTTTATTAGATAGTGCTTAACCTGTGTCTTATCTCAGTGATTAACTGAAAATGATTCTATATTGCAAATCTAATTAATTGCAAGATTTGCAAATGCATAATAAGTATGGATGCCTAGAGGAGCTGCTGGAAATTAAATTAATCAATTTAATCAGCAAGGCTTTGTTAGATAGTTTAGTTAGAAAAGGAATTTGATTACAGTGTATTATAACTGGACTGCATGAAGCTGAAACATTAAAATGTTTATATGTATGAATTGGATTGGATCTTCCAAAGTGTTTTGGAACATGGGTTATTGTGACCAAATTAAACCATAGAAATGTTATGAGAGCAAAAGAGTGTGGACTATAGATGCATAGATGCATGAAAACTCACCTTTAATAAAACACGCTATCAACTAAGATTATATTTTTTAAGAGTTATTTTCTTTCACCGAGGGATAAAACGATCAAATTATTAGTAAATAGAAAATGGAACTTCCATCGCATGAATTCACAAAAGAGAACTAAAGACGACCCAGATGGGACTCGAACCCACAATCCCCAGCTCCGGAGGCTGATGCCTTATCCATTAGGCCACTGGGTCATTACATGATCGAACGCGAAGGTCTAAATTTGTATAATCAGAACGATAGGGTTAACATGTTACTTATCTGTATTTATGCTTATAACAGTTGTCTTTGATTGTAATCAAGCGTAGCCTTCCTATTATTGCGGTGCGGAAAACGGTTAAAACAATGAACGCCTCTTTTTTCCGCCATGCCACTGAAGTGAGTATATGGATGGGAGCTGGATAGAGGAGAAAAATTTAATATTTTGGCCTTTAAAATGGTTTGTATTAAAAGTTTTAGAAATTACAGTCAGTTTAACCTTTTGTTGTATTAAGAGGATCACATTTTTTCATCTGCTAGATCAAAGGTCTGCAACTTTGGCTTTGGGGCTCACTTAATGCACTAAACAGAGCACTCATGTTTTTGAGTGTTTTTTATTCTTTTTGTTATCCTCTCATTAAAAAGAACCGTCACGATATCTAAACAAATGCACCAATTTGTTATAGCTACATTAGCAACTGATTATAACGTTTGTTTAATCATTAAACGTTTGTTGATCAATGCAGAATAATTTGGTACTAGAATGACAGGTTTTCAAACTAATTTTAAAGGAGTGTCAGGTCAAATTAATAACCCAACAAGCCTAATATTCCTCACTTTTTTGTTTTTCCATGTCAAATAAGAACCATTGTGAATTAAAGTCTGTTTTAAACAAGAAATATAACGCATCTAAATCAAAGATAAATAATAAATAGTCAGGCTACGAATGGAACACTAACTTCGATAGCATTCTGCTTCCTGGTGTGGGCGGGGATTTTTTGCAAAGCTGACCAATCGAAAACCAGAACACCCGGTTTACGCGTTTGACGTCATTATTATTGTTTTTCTTAAAGTGGGCACTTTGCCCATGTCAGTTGCTGGTAGACCTTTTGGAACTAAACCAGGACTATGTATTTTCTGTTTTATATTTATTTTTTATTGTTTTATTTAGGTCATTTCTTTTTACACTACTTTACATGGAGGGCTTGACTTGAGGGACACATGCTCACAGGGCTGTCGACTCTCACCCACTGGGAGTGAGACTCACCCATCTCAGTGTCTTCACACGCTCTCACTCCATATTCCCAATTTCTACACTAAAAAAATGACAGACATTAAAACTCATCTCCTTTCCATTTATTTATGTATAAAAATACCATGGTGATCAAAATCCAATCTGCATTATTAATACAACCTTAGTGCTCACACGTAATGACATGCCAGGTTCATATCCAGTCCATATTCCCACCTATTCACTGTGCCAGATATTGAAAAAGCTAGTTGTTACGATTTATGTAATTTTTCGGTTATCAATATTTGCCAAGTTTTATTTTTTGGACCAATGCTTTAAAAAGGACTAACAGTAGTGATGTGACATGTCAAGCATCCCTAAAAAGATATAAAATTCAGTCTGCAGTGGTTTTAATGTACCAGTTTTATCACAATGCGATGTTATATTGATCTGTTTGAATGGCGATACAGTGTTTGTCCGATCACAAAATTCGTCAGAATACGATTTCCATTCAGTTGTCTGTGATCGGTATGATGCTTCAGCATCTACACCTCTAACAAATCTACTCACATTATATCATATCACACACAAAAAAAACATTAAAACAATTTTAACATTTTATGTTTAAGCTGTTAAAAGCATCAGGCATTTGAATCAAAAAAAGCACTCCTTCAAATAAAGGCATTTCTTAATGATGATGAAGTGAACGGATGATTTCTTTAAAATCTTCTACCAATTTGCAAGCTTGTCTGGAAGGAGAAGAATATGTTTCCTCAATAAAGAATCATTTTTACAGACTGTGTGATTTTTATCAGGCATGTTTACATGGAGTATTAGAAATAAAAGTGCGTCATATAACCTGCCTCTGATGCAAACTTCACACTAAATACGTCTATTATAAATAATAAGAGCCTTCACACCGCCTATGACAGTGGTGGCAGTGAGCGGGCGGTAAAATTAATCTCCCTTCTGTTTTTGCATGACAGCAACGGCAGACTTGGTCAAGCTACACACATCAAAATTAACCAACATGAAAGCAAATTGTCAAAACATCCATATTTTCCAAACTTATCTAAAGAGAGACTAGATTTTGTGATCCGATTTGGCTCGATCTGAATGGGTTAGTTTTACAAAAGGGAGGGTGGTTTATTTCTATTGTCTTTCTGAACCACATGCAGGTAAACAGTTGAACAGAAACTGTGGTTCTAATTAAGGCAAACTGACCTGACTGTGAATGCCTCGACCGCTCTAAACATGGAGCGTGTCAATTCAGAACCGCACACTTCCACTATATTTTTGTTAATTTTGTTTTTTTTACAGCACAGGTTAAATTACAAAATCTTCTGGATGATCAGTGATGTTTTAATATAGCGTGGTGCATTTAAACAAGCTTTATTATATCACTTGGATAACTGAGATTTATTTGAATATGATCTTGAAATGTTGTGCCTCTAAACATAGGCAGTGTGTGCACTGACCCTAAACCTAGCTAAATTAACTCATAGCTCTCTAGTTTAGTAGTTTGTGTACAATTTTTCGCTCTGCAGTTCTCCTGTTTAGACATGACTGAATGGGTCCTCCCTGCTAAATTTAGGTGACGGACCCAAAGGCCGAGACTTGGTAATCCAACATGGTGTCCTTCATGCTCTCCTACCCTTGGTTATCTCAGCTCATCTGTCCATATTTTCCGTAAGTGTCCCTCAAAAATATA